CACAAATTCAATTAATTTTTATTATTCTTGGTACACCATCAAAATCTTATTTATCTTCACTTCATAGTGACTGTTTTCGACGATTAATTTTAAGTAAGTAATTATAAAAAATGATTAAAAAAATATATAAATATATAGTATGTATTAGGTGTTGGTCATCGTCAACCAGCAAATTTTAAAGCTCTTTATCCGAATGCAACCGATGATGGAGTTGATTTATTACGTCAATTATTAGTTTTTGATCCTGAACAAAGAATAAGTGCAACAACAGCACTTAAACATAATTTTGTTAATGAATTTCTAATTAAATTAGATGATAATGATGATTGTATGATAGAAAATGATGTTGAAAAATTTGATTTTGGTTTTGAAAGTGAAGTAAGTTAGTTGAACATTTGTCTTTCGTTAAATTTTAAGATAAAAAACAAAACCAATGCTTGCTATTTAGAAATGGACATTAAATCAATTACAAAAAGCTATTCATGAAGAAATTGATCATTTTCAAATTCGATCAATAAAACAAAATAATGATGAAGAATTAACAACAAATATTGATTCAATTTTTTCTCATAAACAACCTATGGAAAATCATCATCAAGTAGTTATTATTGATTCATCACCACCTACAACATCAACAACAATAACAACAGAACTTGAAATTGATACAATACGTTCACTTGAAAAAAAACGTAAACAGCGACGTATGTTGATCAGATGTAATTATTAAAATAAATAAATAAATGAATATGAATTTTTCAATAGGACGAAAAAATGGTCATCATCACCATCATCATCATGATCATCATTCAAAACGTTCGTGTTCAATGATTTACAATGATGAACAAACTTGTGGCGGTGATACTAATGACGAAGAGACTGTTCATCTTTCCTAAAGAATTTTTATAATTATTTTTTTTTTATTTTCTCATATATAATATTATATTTTGCAAGTTTTTGCAGCATTTATATAAAGTTTTTATTTATTTATTTATTTATTTAATCTTGGACTCTATATGCAAACACTTTAAAATGTGTGTATACACCTATTCTTATCTTCATATATTTTTCTTGTGTTACTTTTTCGACTAGGGCATTACGAGAGCAAACAGATAAAAACAAAAAAGAAACAAGAGTGAGTAGGGAAGTGAGCTCGTCTGTTTTCGATTTTGAGACAAATGATATAAAACATTACATATATAATGGCACGGTCAATTATTCCTCAAACATTGAATGGTGTACGAACACCAATTGATGACACACTTCCAATGACGTGTGTTATTGAAAATTCCCAACTTGTTGAAGGACATGGGGTAATGAATAAAATAAAATTTATTTCTATTTTTAATGATTAATATTCAAAAAAAAAAACTTAGGTATATTCTATTCGAGTGGCACGTGCTTCAAATGATCCATCGTGCTCATGGATTGTTACAAAACGTTTTCGAGAATTTGATGATCTTAATAATATATTAAAAGAATATGGTTTTGATTTTGAATTACCAAAGAAAAAACTTCTTGGAAGAACTGATCGAACATTTATGGCTGAAAGACAAAAAGGTCTTCAAGTATGTTATGGAAATAGTTTGTTTGTTTTATATGAAATTTATTTATTTTTTTTTTAGACATTTCTTGATACACTTCTTCAACACTTAGAACTTTGTAATTCATTAATAATACAACGTTTTCTTGATCCAGAAAATCATATGATGAATTATTCAGGTATTTATCTAAAAAAAAAAGAATTATTTACAAGAAATATTTTAAGTTTTCTTTTTTTTTTGTGTGTATATTTTAGAATTAGCATTGCAACATGTATCAATGTTTATTCGTTCAACAAATAATACATATCAAATTGTTGAACAACTTCCAGATTTAGGTAGAATATGTTTTTTTTCTTCTTATCATTTATAGAATTAGTTTTTGCTTTTTAAATTGTTTTAGGTTGGCGATATAATAAAAGCTATTTTTTAGCAACAAAAACTGGTGCTTCAAAAGATGATCGTTATCTTTTATCATGGGTATTAAATTGAATTGTAAATAATATTTACTTACTTTAGTATTTTATTTTAGTGTCATTATGGATTAGATAAAGCATTTGGAGAAAAGGATATTGCTAATTGTTTGAAATTATTAAAATCAATTATGGTAAATATTTGTTTTGTTTTATATATTTTGTCTAGATGAATACATGATTTTTTATTTTTTGTAGCATCCACTTATAGTTCCAATTGATGAAATCTATGCTAATGAAACTGGTACAATTACTGTTTGTCGATTCAATAGTAAAGGTTCATTAAAAGATTATCTTCATCAGGTACGAAAACAAAAAAGAAATAAAACATTTATTTTCTATTTGAAATATAACTTATAGACAAAACCAACAAATGGTGCATATTGGAAACGATATGGTCGAAAATCATTATCACGAGGATGTGATTTAAATCAAATAAAAAATTTTGGTCGTCAAATTTTAGAAGCATTACTTTTCATTTATGATAATGGTCTTGCTTATGGACATTTACATTCGGGCAATATTCTCTTTGATCCTGATCAAGCTTTATCAATCAAATTAATTGATATAGCCAATGTAATTGTAGGTGTTTCATCGAAATATCGTTGCTATATTTCTAATCTTAAACAAATTCGTGTAAGTCAAAAATTTAAAAAAAAAAATTAAAATCTTTTTTTTTTGTTTGTGCTTCTAGACACTCGAACATTGTGATGTTTATGGCTTTGGACGACTTTTATATGAATTATCAACAGGTGAAGAATGTCCAACAAGTACTTGTATACAATTTCCAAATACAGTACCGATTTCTATTCAACATGTTCTTTTAAAAATTCTTGCACCAACAGGAGATTTACCAACAATTCAAGAACTTTTAGATGATTCGTAAACAATAATTCAAATTTTATTTTATATTATTATTTGTTGTTTTTTTTTGAAGTTTTTTTCAAGGAACAACATCAAATAATATCGAACGATTTCAATTAAAATTAAGTCCTAAAGCAAAAGAAGCATTTGAACAAATTAGTCGAACTGCTCAAGCTCGATTAGAAGGTGATCAAGCAAAGGTAAATTTGATTTCTATTTTTTTGTTTGAATTAGAATTCATTTTGTTGTTTTTTGTCTAGATTAAAAATGTACAACGTCGTACAAAACTTGCTAATCATCTCATGTCGGATGAAGAAAAACTTAAACGACGTAGAGAAAGACAAGTCTGTTTTGCTTTTTTCAAATCGCTAAAAAAAAATTTATTGCTTCTATTTCAGGCTAAAGCACTTGGACAAAATCAAGATCCTAACACGAATCTACAAGGCACATCAAGTATGTTTTAAGTTGTAATGAAATAAGACTTTCAATCTAACATTTACGAAGGAATATTCTCAATTGTCGAACGTCCTTCAATCCAATATTACAACTAGGAGTAGATTGCTATGAGACTATCAAGCAAAGGGTTGCAACTGATAAATCTCTTTTGAGTCGAGACTATGCGCATTATATAGATTCGAATAAGCTATGAATATCCTGAAAAGAATTCAGGCACTTAGCTTATTGCTGCAAAGATGCTGAACTTTTACAGTCATTTTTCAATGCATGCTATGATCCTTCTCAGGAACACTCATTTTTCGAATTTTGACTTGAAACTTTGCATAGAGATAGACCTTAACAAAAGTAGTTTATTGCAAAAAAGTTTCTATTCTTTTGATTTATTCCTATCCTAAAATAAGAATGGAAGGACTTCCTTCTTAAGAAAAACCTACAAAGACTCTGATTCATTATTGACTGTTGAAAAGTTACAGCTATTTTGCTAGATTTTTTTTTATTAGGATAAGACATTTCCGAAAATATCACAAAGAAAAATTTTATCTTGAGATTTTACTTTTCAATAGAATTAATAATCATTAAAAAGCGTGAAAAATTCAAAGAAAACAAACGTGTTATTCTCGAGATACTATACTTTGAAGTGGACTTGACTATTGTGTCCTTCTGTGTAACTCTTCAATAGTAGATCGTAGGTTTTTTTTCGTCTCACAAAAACCTATTCGTAGTCATAATCTAAGATCGGACAACATTTAACAGTTAAGAATGCTTTATCGATAGTAGATATTAATTAGTAAGATTTAGCTTGTGACTATTCAAAGCAAAAAAAAAAAAAAACTTATTCTATCAGATTTTTATTTCATTTTTCATTGCAGAACATTTACAACGGTCAGTTAGTGTTGATCCTTTACAATTATCTACAGAAAAAACAACACCAAGAAGACCTTTGACACCAAATTTAAGTGTTGATATCCCGAATGTTCCACAAACACCACCACCAACTTCAACTGCAGCACCGCCTCCACCTCCACCACCACCGCCACCGCCACCGCCTTCATCAACATCTTCTCCTGCTCCAGCTGCTAGTGATGATCGAGCACAATTATTAAATTCAATTACAGATTTTAGTCTTGCTAACCTAAAGAAAACTAAAACCAATGATCGTAGTGTACCAAAAACAAAATAAACACATCTATCACGCACACATATTTTTTGTATAACCTTTTGTTTCTTTTTATTAAAATGTATGTGAAGAACTTTTTTTTTAATATGTGTGTATATGTCTTTCTTAATGTTGTATTTTTCATAAGATACCATTTAATGTGACGCAATTGTCAATGACATGTTGAAGTAATTTTAAATAAGAACAGATTTGTTTTTTTTTCTTTACAAACAATGACTTTTAATTGTTGTAAATCAACTTTACAATTAATAGTAGAAGCTAAATATGTTGAACGAATGAACCTATTGGAATTCATTTAGATATTTTGCAAATAACACTGAATTCATCATAAGAGTATCTAGTCAATATGTTTCTATTCACAATACACAATCAGTTGAAAAACAATGACTAACGCTTTTCTTCATCTTTGATAACTAAATTAAGAGATAAAGATTAAAACATTGTCTAAGATCATCCATCTAGTCACTTGTAAAATATATTAAACAAATATGTTTAAATCGATAAACGTAGTGGATAAATTTGTTGCCTTGTTTCGGGATATAATAATATATGTTGACAAAAATGTTCAAGTCGTTTTTTATTAACAAGAGTAAAATTAAGATGTAATGATATAGTTCGAATAAGTTTGCCCAAACGATCATTTAATCCATTGAATGAATGAAAAGTATCAAATATATTTAAATATTCCAAACATTCAATTATTAATTCATTAGGTAAATTTTCAAATTTTGAAACGTTCACCATTATTGATTGGAAATATCAAACAGTTTTGTTGTCTAACGTTATATATCTATATTTATAGAAAAAAAAAGGACTAAAATAAGTAAAGTGTATATAATAGCCTACTAGTGACTCATGGAATTGAATGTTTAAGTTAATCAGCATTTGAAGGACGAAAGAAATAAATTAATTTTCGAACTATAATTTAATTTGTCCATTGAGTACAGTGAGTTAGTAAACGACTAGATACACTATTGACTAATAATGTCGTTTGTAATCAGAGTACAACTTAATGTGTACATTTATTAATAATTGTAACAATGATAATGTGTTTTATAGCTTAAGTTTACGTAGACAATTGGATGTCGAAGCAACGGCATTACCACAAGGAAAAAGTGAAACATCAAGAAAAGATTCAAAACAAGTTCAAGAAAAACGAAAATCATTAAGATTAACAAATAAAACTGGTAAACTCTGATTTATTTATTTAATTTCTCTTATGAAGGCTTCATTTTTTCTAGAACACCACATGGAAAATCTTCGGGTTGAAATGACTCATGCTGGTCGTGAAAAAAATTTAGCTTTAGCAAATGTTATTATGTATGGAGCTTTTTCTCATGATGAAAATGAAATAACTGAAACAGAACATCAAATCACTGAAGAAAATAAACAACAACAAGCTCGATTATCAAATAATATTATTGAACCTAATATTATCCATGAAATAGGTTTGCATTTATATAATTCTTTTATCAAAAAATACATGAGATTAGCTGATCTTCACTTGAAATCTATTTTAGACAAATGAGAATATGTATCTAATAGTCGAATGGCCATAGCTTCTGTCGCTCTTCTATTTCAATTTTGATCTAAAATCACAATATCGCAACTTTCGGAAAACTTTTTGAAACTAGATAATGAGAAAATGAAGATTCTATAGAGAGAAACTCAAATTTCATCTTCTTGAAATAGAACAATGAAAGTTATGTTTTTACTCTAAAAGGTATTCGATCTTGATTCAGAAAAGTCATGAATACAAAACATTCTTAAGTTATTTGAGCCTCTTACAGATCCACTTAGAGCCAAAATATGCAGTCAAATGGTGTCGAATTGTTGAGTCTATTTCGTAAGAGAAATGAGATCATCGTTATCGTCCATGTTCCATCACATATGTTCTTCTTAGTTTTTTGTACAAAAGTGGAACATTTGCTTTTAGTTAGTCGATGGACTGGTATGCCAGTAGGGGTGTCATCGTTCCCCGTTCCTCAGCATTCCGTTCCTAGGAACGGGAACGCTTGTCAAAATCGCATTTTTTCGCTATATTTCAACATGGCGAGGTCTCTAGACATATTCACTTTTCTTTTTATGTTTGAGTGTTCAGCGTTCCCCGTTTCCAGGAACGGGAACGGGGTAGCGTTCTCCGTTCCTAGGAACGGAATGCTGAGGAACGGGGCACGTTGACATCCCTAATTTTTATGAAAGTGGCTTTCCTTCGGTGAATTAGTAAAATTTCTGTTAAAAGTGAAAGAAACGTATGTTGCGTTCCAGTTTCTAGGAACGGAACGCTGAGGAACGGGGTAGCGTTTCCCGTTCCTAGGAACGGAACGCAAAGTTGACATCCCTACATGCCAGCATCAGAATTATTTCAAACACAGCATCATCGTTTATTAAAGTTAAATGAAAATTTACGTAAAAAAGTTGTTGGACAAGATGATGCTATTGATAGTATTACTAAAGTTGTACTTAGACGTAAAGGTGAATTTTCAAGACAAAATCAGCCAATTGGTTCTTTCTTATTTTTGGGTGAGTTTATTTAAATAAAATAATTAAACTTTAATTTCTATTTGTTTTTTGTAGGTACACATGGTGTGGGTAAAACTGAATTAGCAAAAACATTAGCATTAGAATTATTTGATTCAACCGAATCAATTATTTGTATTGATATGAGTAAATACACAGAATCTAATTCAATTGCTCGATTACTCAGCGTACCATCAATTAAACGTAGTTTTTCAATTGCTCGATTGATTGATGAATCATCAGGTAAAAGTTATATGTGAGTTTTTCTTTGATTTATCACAATAGTCGATTTATTAGAACATGTTGGTTTTGAACAAGGTGGTGAATTGACTGAAGCAATTCGACGACAACCTTATGCTGTTATTCTATTTAATAAAATTGAAAAAGCTCATCCACAAATTTGGAATACATTATTACAAATTTTAGATAATGGTCGTCTTAAAGTCAGTTTATCTATATAAAAAGTATAAGAAAGAATTTTAATGATCAATATTTAGGATAGAAAAGGTCAAACAGTTGATTTCACAAATACCATTTTTGTGTTAACATCAAACATTGGTGCACAATATATCTTAGACGAAGTTGAAAATCAATCATCATCAATAAAAATTTCAAATGGAGAATTATCTCAAACAGTAAAAGATCGTATTATAAAAGAAGTTTCTACTTTAGGAGATTTTTATCTTGAAAATAATGTTTATCTTTCAAGGTTCGTTTATGTTTTCGATCGGAATTTTTCAACCGTTTAGATGATATTGTATTCTTTCAACCTCTTAATATTAATCAACTTTCATCTATTGTTAATCTTCAATTAAAATCACTTGAATGTTTGAAAGAAAAAGATATTGAAATTAATTTAACAGATGAAGCTATTCAATCAATTCTCAAAAAATCTTATAATCCAGGTATTTTATCAACCTTTGTTTAGAGAAGGTCGTTATTTTATTCATACAAAAAGATATTTCCTCTAAACTGAGAGAGAATCTAAGGATAGAGTAAAAAATTATTGCATGAAATCGATTGTAATGTTTCAGAAATGAAAAATCCTAAGATATATCATTAAAACAGTATTAATCAATTCCTTTGCTATGTCAATATGCATTTATTTCCTCTGTCTTCGAATAAACGCATTTTAATTTAAGTTAAAATGTAATGAATTCAATCTAAATTGTTTTGTCTTTTTCTTTGAAATAGTTTACGGTGTTGATCCATTAAAACGTTATGTTGAAGAACATTTGAAAGAAGAACTCTTCAAATTATTAATACAAACAAGATTTCCATCACCTAGTCTTGTTATAATCGATACTGGCATAAATAACCAATACTTATTTCGTATTCAACATTTACAACGAACAACTTCAAATTCAACAAAAAAACCAGGATATGTTCGTTAGTATTAACACTAATCTTATCAATTTAATCTATAAATTTGTTTTCTTAATAGATCATAGTACACATGAATAACCTATGATAAATGTAGACGATGATGATGATTAGGGGTGTCAGCGTTCCTCAGCATTCCATTCCTAGGAACGGGAACGCTTGTCAAAATCGCATTTCCACGCTATATTTCAACATGGCGAGGTCTCTAGACATATTCACTTTTCTTTTTATGTTTGAGTGTTCAGCGTTCCCCGTTCCTAGGAACGGAATGCTGAGGAACAGGGCACGTTGACATCCCTAATTTTTATGAAATTGGCTTCCATTCGGTGAATTAGTAAAATTTCTGTTAAAAGTGGAAGAAACGTATGTTGTGTTCCAGTTTCTAGGAACGGAACACTGAGGAACGGGGTAGCGTTCCCCGTTCCTAGGAACGGAACGCAAAGTTGACACCCCTAATGATGATGAACAAGAAAATAGATTTAGTGCTTATGAAGATGGCAATACATCACCGCAACGTTTACCAAAACAAATGAAACAATCACCAAGAATGAGAAAATGATTTTATTCAACTATTTATATCTTCGTCAAGCAATAAAATGAACATTACAAACTATAAATACGAACTTTTTACTTTATTTTTTTCAATTACAATTCTTCTGCAGTGTTGTTATTTTTTCCTTTCGTTAATAAATCTGATAAAAAAAGTAGACTCTCTTTTGTTTAGCACAATACAATAGAAAGACACTGGTAATAATCGAAATAGAAAACGCAAATATTATTTTAAAAAATGATGTTATTAAAATTTCTTTTCTCAAGCATTACGCTTAATATCTAAAAATCGCCAATGGACAATAAATTAAATAAATATGTCTTTATACAATTTAGCGACAACATTTTATTCATGTAAAGTATCGTTATTATCGATAAAAATCTGTACATTGTTTGAAATACCAAGAGATGATGGAAAAAAGTCTTCGCACGACATGAAATGAGCGAAACAGACGGTGTTTCGATCGGAGTTCATCATTATAATAGAGCAAATGAAACGAAAAAATTCAACACTGTTTCTTTCTGTCATATGCTCAAACATATACAAAATTAAATGATTAAGGATGGAGGTGTAGACAATAGTATTATATTCGTTTCTCATACGTCTATACTCACCCTCAAGATAGTATCCTTTCAACATGGTCTTGTCAAAATACTTCGTGCACAATGGAATGTATATTCGAAATAGATGCTTTCATAACGAAGCAAGAGCAGTGTTTCCTTAAAGAGGCAATATTTCAACGCTACTTAAACGAAGACTATTGAAGTAAAATTCTCTTCGTTTTGATATCTAGTTTTTATTGGGAACCAATAGTTTTGAGTATGTACTTGAGTCGAAATAAATTTTCAAGGGATGTAGAGCCGTCAACTCTTTTGGAAGAACGTTTCAAACAACGAGTTATTAGTTTAATTAATAACATTATTCAGTTAACTCTTTAAAAATCTTATAATCTTGTTTTTTTTCTTTAATTAAAGAAGAGCTTTATTTCATTAATAGGAAAAGAAAATCTTTGTGATCATATAGAGAATGTACAAACAAAAAAAAATCAGTTTAATACCGAATTCTTTTTAAGTTCCGCATTGACGTCGAACTCTTAAATGATTCTTCGGTAGGTTGTCATTTACCACAAATTGTAGTACCCTAAATCTATCCCTAAGTTCAATCCACATTTGTGGATAATGAAATCGAAAAAGTTAAAACTGGTAACCAAGTAGTAATTTTGATTTAGGGATTTTTTCCTAAAATACAATATACCAGACATATTGTATTACGATGTCATCCTTCTTCGTCT